ATGTCATAAAATATAAATTGCTTTTTTCGAGCTACAGGTTTAACTGCTTTTTTAAAAAATCATTAAAGCTCGAGAAAAAATGTTTGTTCTCCTAAGTTTGCCCACGTGTGGTGTCAATAATATTGCGATAACCTAGTGAAACAAGACATGAGTAATTTTCCTAATTTATTCCTATTGTAACGGTTTCACCGTCCGATTGTATTTATTAAATCACTTATCGATTTTCATTTCAGAATCGCAACTCATTAATCCCATCTCCAGCTTATCCCATCTCTAGCTTTTTTACTTGGAAATATTTCCGCTTGGAGCGCGCTTGATGCGGGGTTCCTGATCTGTGATCTTCCTCGCGCCTCCTTTTCACTTGAGCCGCCGATCTAACAAGAGCTGAGAATTTTGTTCTCTGTAGCATGAGGTCATATAGCACCATGTGCTAGCATTTTGTAAAATGTGTGTCCAAATAGGATAAAATGATTGGGGCCACCCTCTTTCCCTTTGTCTTTGACTTTGCCTTCCTTTGTCTTTGACTTTGCATTGCCGTGCCTTCAGCCATGCACGTGCCTTGGCTGCGCCATCACTTACAGCTTCATCCTTAGTGAAGATCACCTTTAAGCTCAACTTCACTGCATCCTTCGCCTACATCTAGTTTTGAAGCCACTAAATATGAGGTCACCCCTCATAACTGGGACCTCCACTTGAAGCCCTTGGCCATCCTCGCTTCAGTCCAGGCAAAATGGACCAGCTTAGCGAAAGATAAGTGGATGATTTTGTAACAGCGCCAAAGTTTTAAATCTTTCATCTTGTTCTTTAAAATTTCAATTTCAAATGTAATGAAAATGCTTTTCTAGTTTAATAAAATCTGTTAAATTTTTGTGTTCTGTTTGTTCTTCTATCCTCTAGCCATGCCATGGTCGACATACAGCTACACGGCTGTAGATGTCTTCATGCCACCGACTGAGCTACCGGAAGCTAATGGTAACCCCCTTTCTGTGATTGTGCAGAAAAGTTGGAATCTTCATTGCTTTCCATCTTTACTGGACTCTTTGCGGAACAGAAGCTTTACATAAATTGGCACCCGCAACGTGAGGCTTCGATTGGTGTTTGGCTTTGTCGACAAGTGGTTTGCTAGTGGAAGATTGGCAGACAGAACATAGTTTTCAAAATTCTTTACAATTTTTGGCAGCATTTCTATTTTTAATTGCTTTTGGTACTCAAATTTCTAATTCTTTAATCATCCTTACTTTTTGCTTAATGTTTAAAATTTTTATCAAAAAATTAAAATTTTTCCACCTGTTTATTTCATAGGCGTACTATGCTCTATTAACTTTTAAATTGTCTTGTTTAGTAGTTAGCGAGATCATTGCCAGAATTTTTTTTCTCACATACTACTATAGTTTTTATTTACTGCTGGGGACAGTTATAACTTTTTTCTCATTGTAGTTTTGAGATCGATGATATTTTGATAATTTTTTGTTGAATATTGATAGTCTGGGGACCTTAGGTTTCCCAGCATTTTGTCGAATATCATCAAACTTTTGATAGAGGTTGTGACTATTATTGTTGATAGTTTATATATTCTTACATGCTTTTGATTTTTGATCACTAACCTCTTAGTTTTTGAAAGTATTTCTTCATGTGTAGCTTTTTTGATTTCTTGAGACTTCTCATGTATGCATATATAACATAGCCTAATTGTTGGATCTCTGGTGTACTGATATAGCTCTCATGATGTTTGGTACGTAGGAAATTTACTTTCAAAATTATTTTTGCCTTCCCCAAATGTTTTTACTTTTTGAATTCTTGACTATACTTGAACTTTTGATCATTTGTTTTCATTCTGATGGCAATAATCTACTGACTAGAGTTATCTGGAGTAAATCATTTTGCGATTTATCCATTGGTCCGAATTGTATGAAATTGATATTCATAATTTTTTGTATATTTTGGCGGTTTACTTTTTTTCAAGTATTGACACTTGGACATAGTTGATACTTACTTTTTTTTCAAGAAACAAATGATGTTTTTCTTGACTATATTTTTGCTACTTTCCAACGGGGGGGTGACTCCTAAATCATTTTTACCTATACAAAGACACACATACTCATTTATGATAATTAAATTTCAACTTGTTGTTGAAATATTATACGTTCCTCAGTAACTATTGTAGTAATTTTTTCTCTTGTTTGGAGCATAAGTTTTCATAATTTTAATATTTTATAGTTTTATCTGGCATATTCTTTGGGCGAAATTAGAACATTAGTGTCTGATTTTCCATTGGATTTACAGGACTTGAACGTTTCTGTACTTTTTTAATGTATGTCAGATATAAAATAATTTTTTTAAGATTTGGCTGCTCCTGTTTTTGTATTGAAACTTTTTGTTTGTATTGTTAGTTTTTTGTGTTTTGGATCCTTGTCATTTATTGACGTATTCATAATTTTTTTTCTTTCAAGTGTTTCTTTGAGGTTTGTTTCTCAATCATGGTTCAGCCTAGACTAAGCCCAAATGACTTATTAAGTCATGAACTCCACTACGAGATTCATATCAGAGGTTTGGAAGTCCCTATTCCTTCCTTATATTGTTCATATAGTAAAATCTCCGTTAGTGTACACATTGAAAGATCTCCATGGTAATATCTTGGGAGATTTATATGTTAAAGACTTGAAACCTGATAATACATTGAATGTTGATCATGGCAATGGTATTGATGTTTTGCGTAATGATGTAATGAGTGAGAGTTCTGATTCGGACAGCGATTAACTTTTGCTCTTGTGTATCATTATGCTTTATATACTCTGATATTCTAAAATTCAGATAAATAATTCTTGCTTAATCATTATCATTTTTAACAATACTCATATTTCCGCTCAATCGAAGGGGGCGAGTTTTTCGACCTGTACATTGGAGCGAGTAGGTTTTCCTATATTTATTTCCTAGTACAGATGCGAACGGACAAGATTTTCCTTTGATAATGATTAAACTTATTTGCTGTAAGAGCCAACTGATCGTTTACTTTGAACATTTAACATCGTTGATCCTTCAACCTTTTGAAATATTACAATCAGTCCAATACTCATATTTCCGCTCAATCGAAGAGGGCGAGTTTTTCGATCTGTACATTGGAGCGAGTAGGTTTTCCTATATTTATTTCCTAGTACAGATGCGAACAGATAAGAATTTCCTTTGATAATTGTTAAGCTAATTTTCTGTAAAACGCAGTTGAATGTTTACTTTGGACATTTGTCATCGTTGTTCTTTCAACCTTTTGAACTATTACGTCAAACCACCATTTACAAAATTTACAAGTCATAATTATTTTTCTGATTCCAATTTAATGTGTATACTTCATCTTTTGAATATTTTATTTTTCTGAGTGTACTCAAAATTTAAATTGCATTCCCGATCAAAATCATGTGACAAATACTGTGTATAACATTTTATAATTTTTTTATGCGTAAACTTTTTGAATTTCTTTTACATACTTACGCACCTCTATTTTTGAAGTCTATTACTTTTGAAGTTTTTGATAGTATCCTCTTTTTAATTCATTATAACTTTCTTCGAGAGCACAGACTTACATTGATTTTTGGTTCAAACTTTTGATGTTTGTTCACATATTTTTGAGTGGTTTTGAACTTTGACAGTATTTTGTAGTCTGGATAGTTACGTAGATTCGTTGCGATGTATGCCTTTGAGGGTCTTGTACTATCCACAGTTCCTTTAATTGAAAGTGTTTTCTTCATATGCATTTTATTTTCTTCTTGAGACTTGTCATATATGCTTTCCGCCTAGTTGCAAATCTGTGCGTATTGATAAACTCTTGAAACCTCTGGCGTATAAGTAAAACTCACTTTTGATATAGTAATTTATGTCTCAGTTCAATTCAATCAGTTCAATTTGATTTGAAGTAATTGTCAATTCCTTCTTGAGATTTTTCATATATGCTTTCAGCCTTTGTGCACATCTGTGCGTATTGCTAAGTCTTGAGCTTGGTTGCGACATTGCTTTCATGTTTCGCTATAGATTTTGAAATATCTGGTGATTTTGCTTTTGCATTATTGCATTTGTTTTGATAGTCTGCTCTCATAGTTTTTTCGACTTCTTATTTCTTTCAATTTCTGTCTTGACTTGAAGTAATCGCCAATTCTTATAGATTCAGTATAGTAATTCTCTTTTCATACTTTACACTGGTAAATTATTATAGTTTTTCTAATCTTGTAATATTTCATATTTGAACTTAACTTTCATTTTACAATGATATGGTTATTCTCAGTGTAGGCTTTGAAGTGCGCTGATGATATCAGTAATCTACATGAGAATATTCCATAGACTATAGACATTCTTGTCTAGGGCTTTGGAGTGCACCTATGGTGACCCTAGAAAGCTGTCTTTCCCTCATATTTTTGCTTTAAATCAAAATTCGAATTCTTACCTATCATATTTATTTCTATTTCTTGTTCACTAGATTGTTTTTTTATAACTCCAATTTTGCACCTACATATATCCTAGACTCTTGCATACAATTTTTGCTTGCGGCATTACTCTCATGTATCATGATTTATTAAAATATCTTGTGATTTTCGTTTCGCTATTTTGCATTTTACATATGCTCACTTCGTTTCTAAATTATTACTCATGAAACTTTTAATATTTTGCTTACTTTTGTATTTTTTGAGAATTCTTTATAAAATCATGCTCATATAGCTTTGATATTTCCTTTCACTTTATGATTTTAATACTATTAGATTTACAGTTACACTTGTGTTCCACTTATTTTTTTTTGAAATTTATTTTGCTCTTTTCTATATTGAACTTAAGAATTTTTTTTGGTCTGGTTCTTATGTTGTCACATGACCCGAAAATTTTGATTGAACTTACTCTTGTTCATTGATTGAACTTAAGCTATATTTTGACTTTGAAAATCTTACTTCAATATTTCATAAATGTCTCTTATATACTTTAATTCTCTGAAAACATTTTGAATTATTTTGTAGTCTTACAGACTGCTGGCGCCCGATAATTTTTTTGTGGAATCAGAACTGCACTTAGTTAACATCTTTTTTGATTAAAATACCTTCTTGATCAAGTTTTCATTGGTTTAGTACTTGTAAATTGTTTTGTTATATGACTTGGTTTCCTAATAGAATTTGTTAATTTCTTTTGATTTTCATATTTTGAAAATAGTAATGCGCAGTTTTTTTACATTGGATATTGGTTTAAAATATCACTGTAGATGATATTCTTTTTGGGTTTGGAGCATTGCGAGATAATCCGGCAATTGTTTTGAGAAAGTTTATTATTCTGTTTTTTTTACCTCTTATGGTTTAGGTACTTACTTAGTTTTGAAGTTTTTAGTGGTCAGTCGTGCATTTTGGATGTCATTGTGATTCCTCACTTCGTGCTTGGACTACTGCTGAAGCTTTTGGTATATTATTTTTCTCGTCCTAGGTGTGACGATGTTTTATGTTTTGGGTTGTTCATCATATGATGATAGTTTTTTTAAGTGCAACCACTGTACTTTTCAGCGAGTTGGTGCTATAACCATCCCTCTTGTTTGGTAGACTTGAGGCTATCCCTTTTTCTTCCAATTCTCTTCTAACATTTTTGTTTCTACCTTACTTTTGCTACTTGTTATCTGGTCGAATGGTTGTACATTTGTCCTTCCGTGATAACTTTCAATTTCCTTGTTAAATAAAAAAAATGCTTGAATGCTTCTTCGATTTTTTTTTTGTTAAGTAGGGGCGAGTGTAACGGTTTCACCGTCCGATTGTATTTATTAAATCACTTCTCGATTTTCATTTCAGAATCGCAACTCATTAATCCCATCTCTAGCTTATCCCATCTCTAGCTTTTTTACTTGGAAATATTTCCGGTTGAAGCGCGCTTGATGCGGAGTTCCTGATCTGTGATCTTCCTCGCGCTTCCTTTTCACTTGAGCCGCCGATCTAACAAGAGCTGAGAATTTTGTTCTCTGTAGCATGAGGTCATATAGCAGCATGTGCTAGCATTTTGTAAAATGTGTGTCCAAATAGGATAAAATGATTGGGGCCACCCTCTTTCCCTTTGTCTTTGACTTTCCCTTTGTCTTTGACTTTGCCTTCCTTTGTCTTTGACTTTGCATTGCCCTGCCTTCACCCATGCATGTGCCTTGGCTGCGCCATCACTTAAAGCTTCATCCTTGATGAAGATCACGTTTAAGTTCAACTTCACTGCATCCCTTGCCTACATTTAGTTTTGAAACCACTAAATATGAGGGGGGGATCTGGGACCTCCACTTGAAGCACCTGGCCATCCTCCCTTCAGTCCTGTCAAAATGGACCAGCTTAGCGAAAGATGAGTGGATGATTTTGTAACAGCGCTAAAGATTTAAATCTTTCATCTTGTTCTTTAAAATTTCAATTTCAAATGTAATGAAAATGCTTTTCTAGTTTAATAAAATCTGTTAAATTTTTGTGTTCTGTTTGTTCTTCTATCCTCTAGCCATGCCATGGTCGACACACAGCTACATGCCTGTAGATGTCTTCATGCCACCGACTGAGCTACCGGAAGCTAATTGTAACCCCCTTTCTGTGATTGTGCAGAAAAGTTGGAATCTTCATTGCATTCCATCTTTACTGGACTCTTTGCGGAACGGAAGCTTTACAATATTGCAAAATGATACAATACACGGTAATTCCTACTGCTAATTCAAAGGATGCTCCTATTAAGGTTAGCTAAGACTCCTATTTCTTCAAATACAATTTCTACTTGAATAATAAATGTGAAAAATCACATTTGCCTAGTGACTTGGTTGTTTTTGTTTGATCTCATAGTGACAGATCAAGTGTCAAGATTCCTTAATAGCCTTACCGTACGCAGCGGTTTTGTATAGTGATTTAGATCTGCCATATGGTGGATAGCCCAATCTTGTGAACGGAAATGTCTCAATACAGTCCGAGGGAGTATGCTCAAATATATCTTATTTATGGTGAGTGTGGAGGTAATGCCAATCAAGCTGCAGAATAAGAGCCAATCCTGATTTTTTCGACCACATCTTGTGGAGTGACGAGGCAACTTGTACAAAAATTGGATATGTAAAATTGCATAACTTGGCAGCTCATCAATCCCCATTTAGTAAGAGAAGGTAAGTCAGAATATCAATTTAAAATAAATCATTGAACTGGTATTTTAAATGGACAAATTATAGAGCCATTTGAATTACCAGCGACTTGGCTACAGAGAGCTACTTCAGTCTTTTTAGGTGATTATCTACCGACTTTACTTGAAAATGTTCCACTAGAGCAAATAATGAGAATGTGCCCTACTCATGATACTCAAAATGTGCCAGAGTATCTCAACGAAATGTATCCCCGTTGCATCGGGCGCTTGGGAGCAATTTTGTGGCCACCAAGGTCACCAGACCTCAAGACTCTCAACTTTTTTTACTTAGTGTATCTTAAGGAGAAGGTCTACAAGAAGCCCTTTAATTCAGTGGAAGAGCTAGGTGCGTGGATACAAACAGCTGTGAGAGAAATCAACGAAGCCGGATACACACGCAAAATCAGGCATTTATAAAAAGATGCAGCGCCTGTATCAGAGCTCGTGGTGGTCATTTTGAGCACTCAGTGTAACTTCTAATAATATGTTTATATCTAGCGAGTTCTTACACCATAAAGCTAGTATCTCGCGTTAAATTCTTATCCATCTGGTAGATTTAAACTGCAACATTACTAATACGTTTTGTAAACGTTGTAATAAATCTGAATATTTTGTGATGATTTTTCTAATTTTGATACGCTCTTTTGTTATGCCTCAATATTGTGCTAAATCAGCAACTTGAGTTAGACTTTTCTTTGGAAAAGTAGGCGTCTCAGCTATTCCAATAGGAGTATCCTTTGAATTGACAGCAGAAAATACGGTGTATTGTATCATTTTGCAATCTCATTGAATTAGGCAAATTATTCACGTTTTGTTTCACTGGATTACCACGATATTAGTGACACCACACGTGTCCAAACTTGAGAGAAAAAAATCAATTTTTTTCTGAGTTTTAATGATTTTTTAAGAAAGCAGTTAAACCTGTAGCACGGAAACGGCAATTTACATTTAATGACACATGTATCCAAGAATACTTATGTCGAAAAAAGACTGAGGTAAAACCTTCATGTGTTATCACGGGACTTAAACAGGTGAGTGAAGGAACTAATTTCCTCCAAGTTTGAAAAACGTCAAAAAACCGTGCAACTTTTACCAGACACAATTTTCAATTTTTTGAATCGTTATGATGTCCTCTAACTGGAGGTTAAAGGTTATCCAACACCCTGTATATTCCATTTCTATGTTTCTTAATCTAGATTCCTTGTCAGCTAGTACATCTATCTTCTTTAAAGGTAAACAATCATTGTCTCGATCTCACACCATTCCATACGTCTTTTGTTATCTAAGGACAAGAACCGGACACTCATGCATGATTCCTTCTATGTCTCCACCCTTATTTCACTGCTGCGCAGATAGATACTATGTTACCCAAAAGCCTTGCGAGCATTTGAATCAACCAGTGCAAAAACCTTGTAAGTCCCAAAATTTAAATTTTTCAGGAGAATAAAAACTCACACACTATGCTTTTTTGGGCATAATATAGTATTTAGGTTCCAAAAGATTGAAATTTTGAATAACCTTCACAATTTATTATTAATATTAATAATGAAAAAATCTCGAAAACCTGTTATGGACTTACGTTGTTTTAACAGGAAATAGAGTTAGCGAAATATAGCAAGGTTTCAAATATATAATATTTTTCGTTGCTTATTGCTTATTTTTTTTAAGGTAAATAGAAGAAACCCGGTCAAAGCGAACATTTGGGAAAATCGAATTAGTCGTTTTACATCTAATTCTAAACCATCAATCGACCATCGTGAAATAACACATAGACTTATTAGATCGACTTTCTTCAATAATCGGCAATCGGTTGTACAAGACAATATTAACATTGTGTATACGTATTGTGAGTAATTCTTTCTTTATATTATCTTTGAGAACAGCTATAAAATATTTAGCTTGTATTTAAATGGCCTCTTCAGACAGAGGATTGAGTCAATGGTTTTCTTAGGAAACAAAAAATCTCTCTTACAAGTGATTTTGGGCAAAGCGGATAAAGCTTATAATCTTATTTTTGTAATAAGTGAATAATGGAAAATTGATATTTTGATGCAATAGCACATAAACATGAACATATTGTTCATTACTTATTGTTGAAAATTACACTTGACTATTGAGTTATTACGATGCCACATGTTTTTGAATGTTTTAATATTTTTGACGTATATAGGGAAAACCCGGGCAAAGCAAACACATGGAAAAGTCAAAATTCATAAGCTTCAATAATCATCCGCAATCGGTGTAGATGAACCCTAATGCTTATGTGACTATCAGGCATCAAAATGTATTATTTCAATCACCATCGGATCATGTATTTGTTAATTAATCTTTCTTTATTTATTGAGTTATGATATTATATTAATTTTTTTGCCTTACAGCACATTAAGTACTTTTTGCTTTTTTTAACGAGAAAATTGATCTTCCAAGATAGGTGTTGTGCTTGTAAACCCATCTTTATAAAGTCTGTATGAGCAGGGATTTAAAATATTTAGCGTATCTCTAAGGCACCTTTTCAGTAATTCAACTGAGGAGAATTGAGTCAGTTGTTTTGGTAAGAAACAAGGAAAGTTTTAAACAAATGATTTCGGGCAGAGCGGACGAAACCCGTAACCTTATTTTTGTAATTAGTGAATGTTAAAATTGATTTTTGGTTAATATAGCACATAAATATGAAAATAAGACAATACAGGGATACTGATGCTGTCTTTGAAATGACCCATTCAAGTAGCGGCCGTCGAGTAGTGCATGCTAAAACATTTTATTGATAATAATGGTGAAAACCAGAAAAGCTGTTATGGAATTACGTTGTTTTAGCAGCAGATAGAGTTACTGGCATGTAACTAAAGCAAAAGAATCATATACTCGTACATTTGTATTTTTTATCATTGAGTCGTCACATTCTCACGCATACGCTGTTAAAAACAAATCGAAAAAACCTTACTGACTAGGTGTATACGTATACGTTTTTTTGTTCAATAATGCTGAAATCGAGTGATAAGAGTCTGTCTAGCTAGAAGAACATTTTCTTGGCATTCCTTCGTCCAGATATATTTTTTTAAATACAAAAAAAGTTGCCAAGACAAATGGTACACAGGTGAAACGATATGATTTTCCATGGTATTTGAATTTCAAATATTTTCTGCTAGATACATGGGTAGGTAATAAAAATTAACCATACTTCTTTGACTAGGTTTTTGATTGTTCTATGGTCCTCCATTTTAAAGTGAGGAACAGAAACGAATTTGTACAACTGCTTCAGTTTAAAATAAATCCATGTTCACCATTTGGCTTTGGTGTAGAAAGTATGGTGAGAAAAACTCCTCAGCACGATAGAGATCTCACCACAGCTCCTATTTCCAACAGACAGTCTAAGGCATTAGTAGAATGTACTGAGGGGAACTCACTAACATATTTTTCCTTTTCTGGGGACTTTGTTCAAATAGGATTTTGTAGCCCTGAGCTCAACTAAGTATTATACGTTTTTGTCAGTTGCGACAGTCATCCAATTTGTAAAAAAAAACCTAAATCTGGCTGCATGTTTTACCACTAATTCCTTGGTTTCTTCTCTCGTAACGCTGGTAGGATCCCTTCGCCTTCTTGTGCGGTGACTTTCGATATGGTTGGCTCCTCTTGCTGCCCCGCAGAGCCTTGCAGTTTGGTGGGAACTTCCATTTTTCTATGAGCTCCAGTCTGGTATCCCTCTCCACAACCTGTGTTGAGTAGCTGATGTATATTGAAGCTATGCCTGCTGCGATATCCGGACCTTCTATGAATTGCCACCGTCATGAGGACCTGTAAAAAAAACATGTCTTTCTGATTCCATGTAATTTTCACTGAATCCTGTACGGTGATATGGTGAGGGTTTTGGAGTGAAACCAACACGAAGCTACATAAAAAAACATGTAGACATTGTGCTAAAATAACCAGCAGAAAATGTAATAATGTAATAATATGTCCATTTTCGTGAAAATGTAACCTGACATCTGGTTGCATGTTTGGAGTGAAAAATCCAGTTGAGTTTTTTGGTTGGTTCCAGGTGAAGCAGCCTAATCAGTAATCTGTAGATACAGTACGTACTGGTTCAAAGTGAAAGCCAATACGTGTTGGCATGTTCAAAATAAAATTTCATCTCTAACCACTAAGGCATATATTTAAACTTACTGCTTGATGACGATATTTCCTGTATTTTCCGCTCCAGTTTTGTCATTTTCTTCTTCAGGAATCTCAACAAGCTGTTTCTTATTTCTTCCAGCACCATACACTTCGAGCGTAAGAACTATAATGGCGAATTGGGAACAGTACAGATATCAGGTAAGCTATGTGGCTGTGGCATGCCCAAGGACGTCTATACTGGTGGCCATACAGAATTCTTTTTCAACTTTCCGTACAAAAAAATTAGCAAGAACCATACTATATTTGTGACCTTGAGGACATGAACATCGAAGTAAAATTACAACTATCTAGACCTACACTCGAGACGAGGGCAGCTAAAGTATGCCGGAAGAAAGAGAGTTCCTCTGAGAACGCACAACACCTTGTAGGCAGCAGCGGTGGCGGCAGTAGTAGACTCTTCGGTCTCCTGATCAGTCGCCGTGCGCTGTGCGGGTTCGAGTCCCGTCCCAGGAGAAATTTTTCTCTTGGCTATGGATGTTGTGATGGTCCGTAGGTGGTAGACGGTCGAACGTGGAAGTACCACCCGGCGGATCTCGTAGGCGGAGCCAGAATGTGTGCATGTTGCATGCACACGTGTTCCCTCGCCAGAGTCCGTGTGGCGTCCCCCCTTTCCCCTGTATCCCCCTATAGCCCCACGGTACCCAATGGGTGTTTAGGCCTTAGGCCTTCGTGGTAGTTGGAGTATAAAAAAAACTAGAATGCCAGCTAAAAGTAACCATTCCAGAGTCTATAAAAAGGGTTTTGAAAATGAATGGATTTGATGATGACCGACTACTACCTGAGCTTTCGGACGAAGATATAGTGGAAATTGAAAAGTTTACTAGAGAAGTAATGCCTTTCGTGATTTCCGAGGATGAATGTGAGAACTTTTTCGGCGTATTCTGCTTGCATTCTACAAATTTTTAGTTTGTATCAGAACATAGGAGACGTCTATATACAATATCAAAATACTTTGGAGACAAGCTGGTAGAGACACCACAACCAACAAGCTTAGAAAACGAGTACACCTAGCAAGCGTGAGTTAATGCGTCTAGGACCTAAAGGTTACAGCGACTGGCTAACCATAGATAACATAACGGGAGACAATGAAAATTTGAAACACGCTTTATTTTTTGGCAAACAAAGATATCGCTCCAAGATTGGGACATGTTTAGTTAGTCAATAAGAGACATTTCTGGAAAGGTGAATGGGTTATCTCTCCCATCCAGTTTAACCGGAAGGACTTTTTCACATGGTGACCTGTATATTTTCATCCATGATCGTACTCTATGCAAAATTCCTTTTCTAACGATGTGTCACAAGTGACATTTTCGTTTTGAAATGACGGCGCTGTAAAGGAATTTGTGAATAACCTAAAATACGCCACATTGCTTACAAGACAAAAAAATATGTTAAACTGTCAAGGTGGCATCATCAACAAATGTCTATGAAAATGGGGCAAATAAATGAAATCCTATAATTATGTGTCTTTCCTGTTAGTATACTTATTTGAAAAAAAATAAATCAGGAATCCACATCTTCAACACAGGATTTCTAATAGATTTTAAATAGGACCCTGTATACCTTTCCCAGAAATCTAATTGTACGTAAAGTTCCCTATTCAATGATATATAACAATTGTACCTTTGTTGTCAAATGACAGCTGCATAAAAGAATTTCTGAATTAACCTCCATAAGCTATAGGTACTGCAAAATAAAAAGTAGGTTTGTTTTTATGCATGGAATCGTAAAGCTTGAATTAAGACGAGTATTATTATTACTGTTATTATTATTATTTTAATGTGAGCAGCAGAACAAACCTTGTTATGATACTGCCCATCCCCCAAGAAACATTGAAAGAAATAATGTCCTGCTTGGAGAACTGAATATTGAGTCCGAAACAGTCGATACACTGATGTTATGGGCATCACGTGGAGTGGATCATTTCGGAATAAAATAATCGAATAACTTGAATGCGGCCAATTGTGCACGTGGGGTGTGCGATCCCTAACTGAATCATACGCGGGGCTCGGCAACCCGAGCGAAAATAAGGGACACGCAGAATATTGGTTGGCAGTGGGCCGGATTGGAAATGAAAAATAGATCAGAGGAAATAAGTTTATCGCTCAACATTTTCCTCGGCGTGACGTAAATATTCTGCGGTGGATGATTTAAATATAATAATAATAATAACAACCTCTATATAAGATGAGAATACTATACATCCATGGTCCTGGAGGTACTGTCTAAGATGAAGATAAGATATATGTGGTAGACGATTGCCGTTGAACTAGGAGGTGCCGCCTACGAATTTCGGTGGTGGATATTTCACATGCACATGTGTTCCCAGATAGCTTGCGTAACATCTGCCATTTCCTAAACCTCTAGGGTACCCAACGGTGGTTGGGCCGTAGGTCCTTATTCTACCGCACCTCTACCGTACCGTTGCCGTAACCCAGAACCTAAATCATGCGCTCGACGTTAAACTGTTTATAAACAGGAATACGGCAACGCTAGAAGTTTAAACTTTCTGCTGTTGCCGCTCCCGATTCAATCAATGAAACTTTATTTAATAGTCAATATATTTTATTAATTGAAATATATATTGTCAATTTATTTAAATAATGATATGAATTATCAGATGTGTGTTACAAGTGATGAAGACCCTGCATCTGATCTGCGGAAAACTATGGTCTTCAAGGCAGTTGAAAATCGGATTGACAAAGTTTCTGAAAGCTCCTCATGGAAGCCGCGGTGCGCTGGTATTTAGGCTTCTGCCTGCGCGGCTGCTCCAGTATAAAAAGAAGATTTGTATCGCAGCAAAACTTTTCAAACATACTAAAGACGGCCAACTGGCAGCTGGTTCGTGCTTTTTGGCAACTCACCAGGTAGGACAACGGAAGAAAGCACAACGACTGTCTATCTGAGATATCAGATTTATCGGAATATGGCGACACAAAGTGCCATCTAATACCAAAATCGACAAAACACTCAAGGGCAAATAAAGCTTATATGTTGTAAGTAAGAGCAGCTTTGTACCTCTGACGATTGGTACCAAGCTTGGTTTTGATAGTGAACGCACTTGGCTTAGATCATTAAATGTACCTCGACCAGGTTCATCCTCAAGCTTTAGGTGTGGCTTGAATGTGTTTGGCGTTGAATCAGTTTCGCATTTTGCATTAAATGTACCCGTAAGAGTTAATTGCGTGCATGTTCAAATAAGTTCAAGATCAAGGGTTACCTTGCTGTGATCCTACGAGTTACATAAATTGAAACATTTCTAGACAATAAGTAAAACCTGTTTAAGCGAAATGTATATAATTGGTAAAGCTTCTTCTTCAAAATGAAGTTGTGAGCTTACCACTTCAAATATAAAATCAATCTCCTTCTTTTTGATTCTCTATAGTGCTGGAATTTTGCTATGCCATCTGGTTTCGAAGCTGAAGTCTTACAAAGTCATACTTCGGCGGAAGCTTTAATTTTTCACCTAACTGGTCTAGACGACAATGACCACGTCTCAAGTTACATCCACAGATTTGGGGTTTTTCAATACCATCACGGAACGTCATGGGAACCAGGCAGTAAGAATGATGAAGGACTGGATCAAGGGCAGAAAACGACTGGCACAGGAGATCAATCGACGGATTTTCGTATTAAAATGTAGAAAACATGGCATTACACCACATCACATCACCCACCGCTTAACATCAATCACACAATATAAGATGGGATGAAAAATCGTCTGCACAGGTTAGGTGACAAAATACTCACACTTGAGATATCTTCCTGCCACAGACAGTTGAAAAAACTTCATTCCATGCTCAATTCACTCCAAAGTGACATAATTTCTTCCACTTCTTCCCTAATTTTTGATAATTTCAAATATAGACAACTCAGACATTACAATAAAACCTTTCATAACATAACAAACTCTAATATTCGTAAGTTTGACAGATTGTTGAATGACACCAGAAAAACCTTGCTCAACATTCAACAAAATTGGATAATAAATCACAGTAATGTTGACATCCCTCATGACATTTTAAAATTTATTTCCCTAGGGCCTAAGTTAAGTGTAGAGCCGATTGTTAATAATGACATTCTAATTAGATCAATCCTAGCTGATGTAGACACAATAGCATCCTCCATAAGTGATGACACTGAAAGAAACATTTTCACAACTCGTTCCACTAACCTCATCACTAACTATTATCATAGTAACAATCTTAATAAAAAGCATTCCTTTTATCACAACCTTTTAAACAAAATTAGAACATTTCTAAAACAACATTCTGAACTTATGGTTACAAGATCTGACAAAGGCAATGTTACAGTGATAATGCTTAAACAACACAATTTAGATCTTTGCAACAATCTTATCAATGATGACCCATCATACCATGAAATTAATAGCGATCCCACACTTAAAGTGGAAAAGAAAAGTAATGACATTATTAAGGAACTTCTCAGCACTGGACAAATAACCCAAGAACAAAAAAGAACTTTGATTACTTATAACTCTGTCCCTCCCAAATTCTATGCGCTTCCGAAAATTCACAAACCTGTACTCTCAGTAAGACCTATAGTTGCATCAATAGGTTCAGCCACCCAGGCTTTGTCTTCGTTAATATCGGCAACAC